GATCGTGACAGAAGAAATTAGATTAAAATAAAAATCTGTCCTTCTAACTTCGATTTTCACGTGTGGGGTGCAGGAAATGATGCTGTTTGACAGAGTGACAGGAAACGTGAACCATGTTTGGCATATATATGATATATTTTGCGAATTACGAATTTATTATTATTTTAAAATAAATTATTCTGTCGGTTCACGTGAATTCAAAGAGTCCCGGCATCAGTTAAGACTTCTGGAGGTAACAATAATATTTTGTAAATCAAAATTTCGGAATGAAAAATTTGGAAACAGACGTTCACATCAATTTCTTTTTCTCCCTTGTTAATATTTACAATATAATTGCAATTACAATCCGTATTGGGATCTTTTTAATGAAAATTTTTGTACAACGTCAATACTTCGTCTGATCTATCCTGAATATATCTTAGAAAAACCCAAGATGATAAATAAAATATTGGAAATAAATAAGGAACATCGACGAACAGAGAATTAAAACGAGAAGTAGCGATTTAGTAGACTTTCTAGTAAACTTTCTCACCCATATCAAAGTCAATTCCAACAAAAATAAATAAAAGGTACGAGTATTAACACACCGGTTCGAAGCGTTTAGTGTTTAACGATAGTAAGCAGGATGCAACGTTAGCAACGGCAACAATTATCAAAAATTCAACGAAACCTCGAATCACCGTCGTAACAACCCATATATAATATGTATATAATCCTTACACAACCTGGACCAAAGAGAAACAATGTCACTTATACCAAAGAACATATTTTAACGCGATTATAAATAAAAAACAAAAATAAAATCAAATAAAATAAGCGGGATGCAACGTTAGCAACGGCAGTAATTATTAACAAATTCAACGAAATCTCGGATCACCGTCGCAACCCATATATATATACATACATACTCTTTATTCGAACTGGACCAGAGGGAAACAATGGCGGTTACACCAAATAATGAACTTTGACACGGTTATAAACAAAAAAGAGAAAAAAAAAATAAAATAAAAGAGAAAATATATAGTTTTATGACTTACGGTGTCGTCTGGTCGCAATAAAGAGCAGATGCTTCGCCAGCATGTTGAAATGCAACTGTGGCCTGCGCCGACTGTCAAATCTCGAATACCACGCTCGTCTTACGACCGAATCTCTCTCTGGCTATCGAGAGGCTGGCGACCGCCTGTCTAGCGACAAGGTTTCCTCTTCGCTGCTAGACTGATACCGCCTTATCATCGCCACTCGCTAAAAACGCGAATTTCTTCCCTCCAACTCGTCGGGAACCCGTTCACGCGTGAAGATCTAACAACTTCCTGATGTTTCGCGCACCAACCCCCATACGGTATTCGTGGAAAAACGCGCCGACGCTCATTGATAAATCATAAGCAGTTCCGATCCAAACTATTTCTTAGAGAGTATTCGCGCGCACGTCCCGAGAAAATAGCGATGATTTTTAAACCGAACGACGTTAGAGGATAGATCGGGTGTAAGATCCGCGGTAGGTTGCGTCAGCTAACGACGATAAAGCCGGGTAACTCGAATTAGCGAAGTCGATAGGAACTCGGCGATGAATTTATGAAATTTGCGAGGGGGATGAAGCGTCGGGGGTTGAGGGAACGCCTAACCGTAGAGTTCAGCGAGTCCCGGTCGTGAACGAGGCCAGTTCGTGGCGTACTGAGGGCGGTGGCATCCGCTCGAAAGTATTTGAATCGTCCGCGGGTAGGAGGGAATTTTGTTTATCTGGATTTGGAATTATCGGCCGGGATAAACATCACGTCTGATGCAACTCCGTTAGTTATTGAGCCAGCAACTAATAATGCTGATAAGGGCTAACAAAGTGAGGCTTCATTGGGGGCTCCCTGGAGTTTTCCAGCTTATCGTCTTTGGCCCCCGCTCTTAACTTTATTGCATGTCGTTCGTTAAAGCGAAAGATTTCCTATTTACTCGCCTCGAGCCACGCGATAATTCCTTCTCCTAGACTCGCGACAGGTTATAAAGGATCCGTTCGGACCGGTTCGTAAACAACGAACTGTGACGTGCTGGATGATCATGAGGATGAAACAAATGGACGGAAATTTACCATGATCACCGACCAATCGCGAGGAATTATTCTCAGAATTTGATCCCTACGAGGTTCCACTCAGAAATGGCGGACCAAGCGGATGAAATAGGCCCTGGAAGGAAGGAACTCGGCCCAGTCTAGCGAGGTAAATCGCTCAAGGTAGGAGAGAAGCGACCAGAGGGGAGCCTTCGCGCGACAATGAAAGGATGCATTTTTTATCTAGCGATAACGTGCAATCGTCGTGGAAGAAAAATGGAAAATCCATGACGCGTTGAAAACAGGAGGAACTAGTGGAACCGCGCGTGCAATGTTATCTATTAACCTTGCGAAAAGCATGCATATACAACGCCGGGACCGCTTCGACGAGCTTATCGACGAAACTATTGAACTCTGAAATATTCCGTACGCCATAAAAGGCGACAAGAGGGAATTCGCGTTTATCGTTTTGCAACGTTACGTTAGGGGCAGCTGCCGATAGATCGGACGAGTCGGTAGATACCGAAAACGTGGCTTTTCTATCTACGTGTCTACGTTAACGCGGAAAAACATTCTTCGATCTCGTTATCGTGACCGTCGAACGGATCGTTTGCCGTTTGCCCTCATTAATTTCCAAGCAATCACACTCTCCCGTTAGCCGAACTCTCCTTTCGCACAGTGCACGCCAAGAGTACACGTCTACCGATCATTTCCACGTGTTACTTTGTGCCCTTCTTTCATTCTTTTCACGCTCGCGTTCGTCCTTCCTGGGATCTCCCGCTGATCCATCTATTTACTGCCCCGGCGTCCCGGCTTCGGCAATTATCTAATGCACGCTTTACGTAATCAGTTATGCAAGATGGAAGGAACAGAGGATCTGGAGAGTAGACTGTTGCGCAACAGGACCGACCGCGATTCTAATAGCGAGATATCAACTCCAAATTCTTCGCTTCGTCGAACTCGTTAAGCTTCACTACCAATGCAACTGTGCTTTGTGTATTTGATTAATCGTGAAGTAATAGTCTGAGGACTTTCGGTGGAAAAATTGGATATTAAATCCAAAAAGGATTTAATATTAAAATACAAAAGTTCTTGATTTTAATAGTGGCTCTTGGCTCGAATAACTATTACTCGAAATGGATTTTATACGAGGATTTCCATGATTTGTTATTCAAATATTTTTGGAAATTATTGGGTCTTTGAAAATGAGGCAATAGTTGTTATTATAGACTCGTTAAATAGAAACCGAATTTGATTCTTCTTATTTCCTCTCTCCTGATTTCTCGCCTTCGTTAGGTTTAACTTTAGCTATTCCGCGTTTAAAGACAGACGTCACGAGAGATAATGAGAATTTTCGATAAGCTAGAAATAGCATAATTTTCCCCATTTTTCCGATAGGATATGCTCCGAGTCTTCTGTTTACAAATAATGGAATAAACGTAATATTTGCAAACGGAAAGTGTCTGTTGTTTGTTTATAATGTTCTGCTATTTAAGTGATTTCTACTCTATCGATAAAACGAAATCGATATCTCTGTTGCAAATAGTTTCCGTATCTATTATATAATATCACAGGTACAAAGTGCTTGAACTATGATTCTGGTTGATATTCTTATATTTCGTATAATCAAACGTGGCATAAGGGATCGGTAATATTTCAAGACCTTCGAGGAATAAAAGCGACGAGAACAGGTTCAACCGTTGGACATCGGAATATTATAAATTGGGAACGGTAATTAGTATACCTGTCACGTTTATACGATCGATATCATTCACCGATGAATCTCACGATTAATTACCGAATTTCCGTGCAATTGTCAGAATATTTAAGCACTTCAGACGATTCGATATCGATTATTAATTTCATTAATACGGTTCAACGATAAATCCCATTACCGATCACCAAATTTCCGTGTCATTGCCGGAATACTTAAGCACCCTGACAGGTTCAATGTCCGTGGCTCTGGGCCTGGGACTCTTAGCAGCGGTCGTAATGGGAATCGAGATCGTCACGTTCATGTCGAAGTTCACGTCGCTATCGATCGGAGGCTCGGGGCTGGAAATTGTTTCGGGATAATTGATCCTCTCCTTCAACAATTCCTCCTGCAGCTCCTCCGACGGGGTTCTGCAGATCTTCGACGATTTCTCCCCGTTACAGGAGAACTTTTTGATAAACATTATCGGACTGTTCGCCATTCTATAGCTCTCGCTCCGCTTCACTTTACGCTCGATCCTGCTGCCGCCTCTGAACATGTCAGGCTTCCTTGCAGGATTGTTATCGACGCATACTTCGGCAAACTCCGAATCCAAGATCGCGTCTCTGTCGATTAGTCGAAACTCGTTAACGGTGGTCGCGACACACAGCGATTTCTCATCGTTTCGTACTCGATTCTCGCTTTCTTTCGCACTTACGACGTTTTGGTCCTCGCAACGGAGCTCCAATTTCGTGACCTTCCTACAAAAGTTTGGCGTGTCCAGGTCAGACACTAGCAACTTCCTACTTAATTTCGGGGTATTACCGGTTGCCCTCAAGTTTTTCGGACAGAGAACCGACTTCTCGAAGTCGAGTCGTAGATTCGTGAGTTTGAGAACCGACATGGGTGGATCTACCATATTTACTGCTCGGTGATCCTTCTGAGGGATCGGAATATCGCTAGGCAGCTCCGGTGGATGGTTCTCGTCGCAGGTAATTACATCCGCCGACCTATTCTCCGCGATCGCTTTGTTAGAGCAGAGCTTAGATTTATTGGGATCTAAGAGCTTGTTACTCGGTGCCAGTGCTACGGTCCCAGCGGCCGTTCGACAGGTGCTCTTGGCCGAAAGCAAAGGACTTCCGTTGATGGTCAAAGGTGCGTTCAGCTTGTCGTTAGGACGAGTGTTCGTCGCGAGTGTACATTGTGCTTCTAATCTACCGGCGCAGCCTGTGCAGTCACGTTCGTCAGTGCTCGTACCAGAAGCCGTCTTACCTTCGTCGTCCTGCACGTTGACATAAGCCCCGCGAACTTGTCGATGAGGAGTAGTCGGACTCGTTGGACCAACCACGGTCGTCGGTGTTCTCACGTAATCTGGACTGGCCGCGCGATCGGGACTTCTCGCCGCTCTGATGATCACCTTGCCTAATTGGGGTGACGTGGGTGGAGTGGATTTGCCTGTCGGACCGTCCACCGTGTCGTTGGTCTTCGTCACTGCGCGAACATTAGGGGTTGCCCGATGCAGCAATGGAGACGGACTCGGCGACACGCCTTCTCTTACGAATGGACCTGAATTTTAGTGCACACGAGCAAGAAGCGATCTATTTAAGTACAGTTTGTGGAACGAGTATAGCGAGATTTGTAAAGTTGATCAGGTGTTAGAGTCGAAGTACGATTTAATTTTAAAGCGACTTTGGACTCTCGATTACGCGAAATATGATCTAGCTTTGAAACATGAAACGTTGCGTACGATTCTGGTTGGATAACAGATCATCGATGTCACTGGATAATATTTTAATTTTCGATTTTTTCCTCTACTTATGTAATACATCAGAGGTGTTGCTGAAGAGAGCACGAAGGACTCCTATATCTCGCATTTTTTTACTTATTTCTGAAATTCTATCATTATCCGCGAATCAAAGACTACTTCGACAAACGTATTTCATGTATTTGACAGTGATTATCCTGATACTTTACGTTTCTCGCTTTATGCGCAACACGATACACGTCAGATGACGCTCAAGAAAGATTGTACATTTTGATACCTTTCATACGTATCAAAAATTTTCTTTGTATTCCCTTTCTCGTAGGCGTTTCAATTTCCACTACATGAAAGAAACGTACCGAATTTCTCGCTTCGCTACTTAATATATGGCTATTGCTTTATTTAAACATTCCTCAGCAATGCTTATCTTTAAAAAGTGCATAAATGCAGTTAATACATTATCAATTATAATATATTCCAGTCGATCATCGACTTTGTTATCTCCTAATACCAAATGTCTCATGTCCAACAACTAGTCAAACGCACCTGGATTGAAGGTAGTATGCGCGCCCTTCCTCCTCTTCAAGCTATCAGACGAATAAACGACTTTGCCTTCCGAATCCAACGTAACCCTCGCACCCTGTCTCTTCCTTTCCAGTGACGAATCGGGCTTCTTAGGCAACTCGCTTAAACTAACGTACTCGGCATCTTTCTTAAATATATCCGAATTAGCATAGGTAACCGGGGACCGGACAGGGGTCGTGCTTGAACAGGCAGCCGAGTCCTGACGCTTGTCATTGTTGTTTCTCACGTCGGCTATGGTGACATAGTCGCCGGAGTCTGCGTTCGTCTGTTCTTGAACCGTACTCTTCAGCACCTGTTTTCTGCCCGGTAGAACACCGCGAAGTTTGCCCAGTACTCCGCTCAGTGGATTGATCTTGGCCCCCTGACTCTGCCCGACCGTGGGTTTCTCGCTCGTAGGCGAAGGTAACACCTGAATCGTGGCGTAAAGATTCTTGTCTTGGCCGTTGATCACTTCCATCTTGGAAGTGCCAACCGTGGCGGACATTAGAACCGATCCTCCTGTTTGAAGATCGATTATTTTGCTGGCCTGGTCCGAATCTCTCGCGTGCTCGTCGTCCGAACCCGGTGGCGTGATCACGCACATGGACGGTATACGACTGTTATTGATCGCAGTCTTCAAACGAATTCTCTCGATCCTCTCGCAGCTTTCGAGGTCGCTGGACTCGGAATACTCGAATTCCGAGCACGATCTTCCCGTACAGGCTGGACTCGAGGCTGACTCCACGGGCGACGACGACGTATTGTGACCGCTATCCGGAGACTCACCGCCGTTTTGGTTTGACCCGTGAACCTGTTGATGACGATTAGGTCGTTTAGATGAATATTTTTAAATAGACACTGATATAGCATAAAGTAGAACTATTAAGAAAAAAATAGGAGACTGAGACTCGTTGCAAACAGAACAGTCGATCGTAGTTGATTTTTCATCAATTTCTTTGCGGTCGAATTTTCTCTTAACTCTTTGACATCCACGTTGGTCATATATGACCGGCCACGGTTTCTCTGTGACGGCACGGTGGTCATTGGTGACCGAAGCGCTTCAACTACTCCAACTACATTGAACTACATTTAATGAAAATTGATAATTAGAAGATACTTTGAAATAAAAAGTATCCCATTGAATAATTCAAAATTTTGATTAGAACATTTAAAAAAAGAACAAATCTTGCATCTAGCGGTGCACACCCGTGGCGTCCTGAGAGAAACATGTGATTTCGGCGTAGGTTTCTCGTCAAAGGGTTAAATAATAATACATGTTTTATTTTAAGAATATAATTGATCCACTCTATTACTTATTCAAATCTCTTGAAACATAACTCATTATACCGTATAATAAAGTACAGTGAAAACTATTTTTCACCTATTTTCTAGTTATTCAAAGCATCTGTATTCAAAGACACAGACATCGATATATATACTGGACATCTTTTTTAATTATCAACTATCCGATGCATTAGTCGCAGTTTCTAATTTAAAAAAAAAAAAATATCGACGCAATTTAGGGAATAAATTTTAGAAAGGAAAAATTTCTTCATACCATAGCAACAACGGTTAGGCTGGATTTCCTTTCTGGCGGCGGTGGTGCCATTAAAGCGGTACAGACTGTGCCGGCGGAACTCGTCGTTGTCGATGTTGAACCTCTTCCAAAGAGTTCATACTCGTTTTCGACAACCGGTGAGGTAGGATCGGAACTGATATCATTGGATTTCATCAACGGACACTGCGGGACTGGATCCTCTTCTCTTAGAGTTTTTAGACCAGAGTCCACGTGGAACGAGGTGTAATAGCCCTCAGTGTCGCAGGAATACACAGACGATGTTTCACCATCGTCGGAGAAAGGTATCACGGCGATATCTTGTATAATATCTGGAGTTAATGTACCTTCTGACGTTACGGAGGATGAAGTCGATGTATCTCGTCCTTTGAACCGTCTCACGTGACTTAGAGATGTCGACGACGTTCCAATCGAGGCAGTCGTCGTTGATCTGCGCAAATATCACCGGTTTCTGCAGTTAATACGTGTAACAAACTATGCCGCGCGCTAAAGTATTCAAACTATGAAGACGTCGATACGAAGGTATAAAAAATATGAAATTGAAAATTTGTTTGCCATCGATATTTGAAATGTCGGAGAAAATATAAAGTAAATGGAAACAAACGATACAACCACGAATTTCCTTGCAGCACAATGGAAAACTGATTAATGGAGTTAATAGTTAAATAGAAAACTCAAACACGGAAAGCCCATTCGATAACGCAACACAAATGAAAAGAATGTCAACTACAGGCTCGAATAGTCCCTTTTTAAACGTAATTTTAGAAAGGTAAAAAGGCAGAGGAAGACACGTTACCAAGTGCTTCTCTGGTACATAATTATACGTGCATTTAGTTCTCGTTTCTCAATTTTCTATTTCGCTATTAAGAACTATCTTCCTACGATATATCAGCCCTAATACCAAACTCTTAAGGTGTCATTTCGTTTTTCTCGTAACGCATTAGCTGGCATGGTAATCTTGGTGCGTGCAGCGGTCATACCTCGGCTGATGCGTGGTAGTGGTGGTTTCGCTTCCGATACTCGCCCTTCCGCTTTCGGAGGATGCACTCCAGTTTCCAGAGCTGGAATGAGGCGGCTCGTCGCGACTGCTTCCCTTTCGTCTTTCTCTCCTTTGGGCCGCGCTTTCGCGCAATTTCACGCTCGGTTGTCTCTCGGTGCTCGGGACGGATACCGGTATACTCGAGGTGCTCTTCCCGCTCGAGCTCGACGAGCTCGGCTTCCTTTCGTGAGACTTGTCCTTCCTGCGCCTGGTTATTACCATTTCGTAAATATTTGTTTCCTCGGCTGATCTCGACTGACCTTGATCCTGTTCTGACCTCTCTGTGCCCGAAGCGGCCGTCTCCTGCTGCTCCGATTGCTGACTGGATTTCGGACTGATCAGTTTCAGTCTGGACATGCCCCATGCCTTCAACGTATTGAAGTGAGACTTCTTTTCCGTAGACGAGTCTTTCTTCGACGAGCCCAATATATCCGTGCTCGCTGATCGATGAGCCCTCGTCGCTATGTTCGACATCGTTTCCTCTGCCTCTTCGCCGGTCGTTTCCCTGCAAGCAGCGGCAAGGATTTCGTCTGTCGTTCCGACCGGGTTACCACCGGGTTATCCCCGCGCCTACCATTTCACCTTCACCGAATATTCAATATCGGACAGCTAGATCTCTGCACATATGACTCACCCCCCGATAGCCTGTCGAATTTCCTTCTGATCGGTGCCAGCGATCGTGTTTCGTCTCTTTCCTCTGGGCCTGCGAGGTCGCGATCGTCTCTTCACCGCTGTCTCTTGACTCTCCGGGCCAGACAGCAGGGATCTCCTCCTCATCGACATTCTCTCGAATCCTCTCCCGCTCACGTCCACAGCCACGATTTCCGCCGGGAATCTAAGACACGAATGGCATCGCCGTTTAGCGATGTTAGTTGAAACGGAAATTTGACAAGGAGAAATTTTCGCGAGGTTCACCTCGAAGACGGTTAACAACGCGGCCGATAAAATTGAAGGTTGTTAAGCGGAACGAGCGGGATGCGTTCTTAATGAGAATGGCCTCCTCCGTAGTTTGGCGGCGCGATGGAAGATTTACAATCGGGCCGATCGATAAAAGTTTACCCGCTCGTATCCATTATCTTTACGGTGGCATAAATTTCTTGCTTACTTCAGAGCGACGGCTTGAACCTGTTCCTCGGGGCTTGGAAGCTTGTGATCGACGGCGTCGTCGGTCGTTGTATCTCCGAGGATCCTGGACATGCAATCCGGTGGTACAGTAACGTCCCCGAGCGCCTCCGTGGATGTCCATCTTCGTAGATCCTCGATAGCGGCCGGCTGTAACGACGAATTATACGTGAAACAAAGTCACCGGACTTCCTCCTTCGATTCTCTTGCCAACGGACCAACCAACGTACCAACCAACGTACCAACCAACGGTATTACAACAAGGAAGGCTACCACTACTACATCGCTTCTGTTTCTAAGAAACTCGATGCTGCGGCGAAAAGCAACCGACGTGTTTTACGCACTACGGCGCTGCGTGGGCACAAGCATTGTCGGATGTCACCTCGTGACCAAGCGGCTTTCACGCACGGAATACGGAACGGATTGTGTTTCAGTCTGGCCCTTTTCTAGCGGGATGTGTACTCCTTGCAAACCAGGTGAAAATGGATCGACCATTTTTTACGCTCCCGATCCTCGCGAACCGGCTCGTGGCTTACCAGCCAAACCCCCATTTCACCCTTTCGATAGTTGGCTCACGATGTATCGGCTTTCGGAAAAATTACGCAAGATCGTGTAAGTGTAACGCACCCAGACTGCGTGTCGATTAGACGCACGGTGAAATGTAGTTAGAAAAATGCCAGTTATCCATGTAAACGCGATATTTTTCTTAATACCCAATGACAGGTACGCAAAGTTGTCTATCGTGTATTTAGGTTTCGACAACGATACGTTTAGCGATTGACATAACAGCTATCTAAATAGATATCTCGCGCGGAAAGGTGTGCGTAGACCTTATTAAAAACTAATCGATTTCTTTCTATTAGGAAAGAGGAAAAAGGAAATCGTCGAGACTATCGTTTGATGACTCAACGCATCAAAGACACCAGATGCTGTTTCTCATAAACGATCATTCCCCGAGCTTTTAACGTTATTAACTTTCGTGACATATCGAATATTCCCGTTCCAAGCAGCACGTAACGAACATTGATATGACAGCAGTATAAATGTGCATCTGTCGTACGAAACCGGTATTAATGTGAATGGAGTTAAAATACATTTCGAGATGCATCGTTTCTACGAATCGTTGATCGTAGACGATAGAACGTCGGCGACAAATCTTTTCCCTTCGTGTTCTATTTTCGTTGATTAATTGAACTCGTCGAATGTTGTCAAAATCGAACATCGCTATGCATTCGTTTATATTTCAAATAATATAGCTCTATAAAAATTCCTTTTCCAAGAAACAGCGTATAAAAATGTTATACACTGTGATATTACATGATACATAGTATCACGAGAAATAATTATTGTTACTGTAATTATTATTAATATTATTACTGTTAGAAGCGAATTAACAAATAGTAGTTAGTAATGACAATAGAGATGCAACGTTAAACACAAAAATTCCAACTATACGCTAATTCGATACTTTATTCCTCTGTCACTATCAATTTATCCAGCACGTATCTATAATTTCATCTCTGATTTCATCCTATTCATTTCGTAGGTCTATGTCGTGAATCATGCAACCAAAGCAACTAACAGGAGCAAAGTACAAATGGACCTTGGTTATAAAGATTCGTAATCTGCAGAAATAGTTAATTTTTACAGGTACATGTCAGTTGTATAGATGCACGTATGAGATGTATTCCCAGATGATATTAGAACACCGTGCTCCTCTGTGTAATCGCTATCGGTCCATCGAACGTGTGCCTATAATCCCGACTTATCTTACTCACCTCGGACATCTATTTCGCGGTGCATGCAGCCGGAGATGGCACCAGAAACGAAGCACAAAACGCGCACGCTTCGTTAGCAGAGCGAAATCACGTTGATTAACGTCCAAAGAAATTAGGGCGATTAGCAACGCGCGATACGCGATCTTTAAAATCACAAGAGCGGACTTCCCGACGCGATCTAGCAACGTCAGCCTCCGGTCAGTCCCCGATTCTTCGGACTCTATTAACGAAGCAGGTAGCCCACGGGAACTGGAGAAAGGCGGCAGGACTATCGCCGCAGGAGTTCCTTCGCGAGGAAGAAGAAACGTGTATAACTGACTGGCAACCTGTTACAGCGTAGCCTTCCCTCGAAGGACGCGTGTATCGGGTGCTCGATAAATCCTCACGTGATCCAAATAAAGATGAGAAATACTCGAAGCAAGCGAGCTGAGTTTTACTCGGCTCGGATAACCGAACTGACCACGAGTAGAGTACTCGAACGCAGAAAACGGATGGAGAATCGAGTAATTCGAATTGCTTCGAGCCACTTTCAGGCTGTATACGTGTGTCGTCGATGCGTTGTGTCTAAAAGAGATCGTCCATACTCCTTTCGACGTGACAAGGCAGGAAGTACAGTGATCAGTGGCTGTCAAACGTCAATGCTCAGAGATCAGCTTCTCCTTTCCCAGTGTGTATGAATTAAAAAATGGTGTTTCAAACCTGATCTCTTCACACGTTGCTCATATGCAGACGTTAATAAACTCTGCCAGTTCTTGCTGAACAAAGTATAGCGATTCTATAACCTCTTGGAGATGATTGGTTCTTTCCAACTACTCGAAACTCGGTTTCTTTTGAGCTACTCTATTTTTTCGAGTCTCTCGGTTTTCAAAGAACTAGAGTCTAATCGGAATCCTTATTTCCAAACCCGAACACGTTGATAAGGTCGTTCGCGTGAACTCCGCAGTTCAAGTATCAAGGACTCGACAAGGACGCGTCTTCCGTCGGCGACCCATTAATTCCTCGGCCATTTTTATCTATCGAGCGTAACCCTGATAACCGATTTCTCCGACGCGAACGAGAGGGTTATCTTTTTATCGCGCATTTGAACTACGTTGCACCCGTATCGGAGAACGGAGAAAGGAATTATCCAGCAGATAGAACGGGACGTTCCCTTCTTTCCGTTCCAGCTCCACTTCAACGCGATGGAAGCCTTTTCAGAGTATTTACCAACGTGAGTGTTTACTACCTCATCCGTATGGCGTCACGACTCAGCGGAGGATCAGCACGAGATGAATAACTCTGCCACCGAGTCACCTGGTTCTTCGAGTATCGCGTTCTCTACGCATCCCGGTTTGATTGTACAGCGGAATTTAATCCGTGTTGAATTAAAAGATGCTTGGTATAAGATGGGAAAAGAAGAGAAAAGAAGAGAGGACCTGATGGCAAAGACTCGCGTTTGCATCGAGCTACGATGATTCTTCGGAGAACCTTCGAACATCGGTAGGAAAAATCGGTAATTCAGCTCTAATTTCCTCTTCCCTCGACAGGCGCCGGAAGTCTCGTCCTAGTCTTGGATCTATTTATCGATATCGTAAAACGCCTTCTTGTCACGATAGTGGAGAACCGGATCATGGAACGAGAAATGTGTAAGGAAAGACAGATAATGACGTTCAACTTTTTGAAAAGCACCCTCATCACCTGAATTAACTACTTCCCGTGCCATTTAGCTCGACGAAATCCGGGCCCAAACGGTGGGCGTCAACGTGTGGTAAACAGACCAGACTGATGCTAGAAAGGAATTGCAATACGAGCCAAAATGTAAATACGCGTGATATAGTCAGTTTTACGCGATAGTACTATTGCGAAAGTAAACTCTAATCCTTTTTCCTTTTATAAATATTATAAATATATTACATTTTATAATAGATGACAGCTTCAAAACTATATTTAGAAAAATGTTCTGTTCACGAGTCTAGTTCGTGATAATCATGTTTGGCCCAAAATCTTCATCACGAGTCAGACTCGTTAAAGCACGGGAAGGGATTAACATAACTGATACTAGACTTTGTCGTATGTTACATGCAGAGTAAAAGATGTGCAAGATGAAGTCTGTGACATGTCTCGACGTCACTGAAATCGATGATCGAGGAGTTTCTCGATAAGTTTACCGAAATGGGAGAAAGGGGCTGTCGACCGAAATTTCCTGGCTTGGAAATCCTTGGAATGGACGAGGGTTAATTGACTTTCGATAATGGCCGATTGTTAATGGCGGTAGTCGTGCGTGCCAGGCTGGAGAGCTGTAATACGAGTAGCGGATTTATGGCTCGGTCGCGGCACCGAGTGATTTAACCGTTTGACAGGGCAATGAAACGAGTTCCAATTCCATTTCGTAAAATCGGCCTGGAACTTACGGGGTGGCAGCAGCGCGAGACGAGGGAATAGTCGATCCTCGAACCGAAACGGAAATACGAAGAGGCGAATCGGTATACGTGCATGACCGTGTTCAATTTGACTCGTAGCCAGGTGGTTAGACGGATTCTACGAAAAAAATGTGGCTTTCGTTTCTTGATCGATGAGTCGGATCGCGTGTGTAACACACACACGCGAATAGGTACAATAATTGTCTATTTGGGCATGACGATGGAAGTTGTAACGACCAGCTCCAATAGAAGATAATTAGACACGAAATATATTATACTACGGTATAGAAATTTAAATAAATAAAATTACGAGTTAAATAAATAATCGTATAAATTGCTACCATGTCCATTACACGAGTACCTTAACAAAAATATCTCGAATTAGTTGTAATTCGATGATACTTCTGCTTATTACCAATTATCGTGGATGCATAAGGGAACACACGGATCATTAAAGTAAACACCTGAAAAATCGTATCGACTCCATGTTCCTCTTTGCGATTAAAAATGAATGATCGAGTATTCAAAGTTCACCGGATCTTGCTTTAATAACGACGCTAATTAACAGTGGAATGAAAGTGAACAACAGAGATGATACGTTCTCGATAATCGCCACTAATAAGAGTAAATCACGAGGGATCATAGAAGTCGCAGACAGCGGGTCGTGCGTTATTAAGAGACTGATGCATTAACGAAACGCCAATGCGAGGGAACGATACGTATCATTATAGTGCGGTTCATGCACCCGACAGGGACCACCGTGTAGGATTCGATGCATCTCCCTGGCTTCCCATGACATCTCCCATTGAACCTGCTTATGTGGAGCTGTCCTATCGTAACGTGGCCATACCAATGGGATTATGTACCAGGTCCCGTAGATACGAAACTCGCAGCTTAGCTAAATTCAATCCTTTCGTGCCTACGTTCTGATCATGTTCGTGATTCGCACAGGTGTATCGTTGCGTTAGAGCAAGATATCGTTGGAAGTCTCCGTGGAATCTGCCGTGGTATTAATTAAGGGAAAATACGTTGAGAAAGTCGCGTGTCAGTCGAGTGTAGATCATGATGTAGATTAGATGTATACGGATTAGGATGCAGATCACGGAGTAACCGTTTAATTTGTTTAATTTATCATGGACTTTTGATGAAATTATTCGCCTAGTTCCATTCGTAAAATGAAGGTTATAATCACAGCTTGAAGGGAACGATTAAAATCTTCGATCAGCTATGACGAGATAACTATATTTTTACTTTCAATCTTCCTGATGTTAGAAAACAGTTGTAAAATCTACTGAAACTATATTCGATATATGTTTGAAGAAGTAAGAAGACCTTTATTTCTTCGGAAATGGAAAAATGCTCCAGTTGGACATCATTTTAAACAAATTTATCATCGAGAGTTGCATAGGTTTGAAATCGAAAACTCGAGTCGCCCAATGAATTTCAATTTCTGCAGAAATATTTGTAAATAATGGCTCCTCGTTCTGTCCAATACGACAAAACGATTATTCAAAGATCACGACACGTTTACTCACCCATATTTATTCTGTTTTTATTGCCATAAATATCAATGATTGAAGAAATAATTGAAATTCTCGTATTTCCTTTAAAAATATCGATTAAGAAATGTTTAACAATTACATGCTATTTAAACATCGACTTTACAGCAATTTCAAATGCGTACAAGTGGCAATCAACAATTTTCGAATAAAATAAATGAATTTTACTTTGTTTTGTGTTCCTGCGACACCGGGAAGTACTTCGAAATTAAAATTATCGACTCAAATAGTAATTATACAAGCAGAGCCATTAACGTTCGAATAATTACAAGCTTTAGATACATATTTCACCGCATCACGATTGAATTCGGGCACTAATTAAAGCGTATATCGCTCGTTCTAAACGAAACAATTGTACCAACCAAACGAAATATCTACAACTAAAAAATATATCTAAAATAAGACCATACGAATCACGAAAGCCGAGTGAGCACAGTTACGTAATTTTTCATCTCAACAGCCCTCGATATTCAAAGTTGCCAAACTTCAACGACCATTACGATTTAATAACACCTCCTCTACCTAATTTACTTCAATGATAAATTCACACATTTCCGCCAAAAGCAGCAATTTTAATCCTCCGAAACACGTGCACAATTGCCGAGAGCAGTTCAATTACAATTGTTATTATGCGATACACGAGCTGGTACATGGTAAGAATGAAATAATTATGGGCCAGGACGAATCGTTAATCCGATAATCCGTATCTAAATGAAAACGTCGTTGCAGTTTCATGCGAGCACACACGCGTGCACACACGAACACACAACAGGGGAATACGTATATACTTACGATCCTGGATTCGATGTCGAGACTTTGGTCTCGCCTTCTCTTGCCAAGGACGGGCGTGCAGAGGAACATATCCATGGAGCTGCCATCCCTTCTCAGGCTATCCAAACTTCTGACAGCGACTATAGCGGCAGCCTCGTATAATTCCCTCAAGGCTTTCGGTCTGGTGTTCGATGTGAACAGCGCCGTCGATGGTTTGTTAACGATGTGAAAATGCTCCGTTCTCGCCGCGAACGTGCAAATATCCGATTCCGCTGTAACATTACGAAACGTTCTCAGAATCGTGACAGACGATCAATGAAAAATCGAATAATTAACGTAACAAAGTATTTCCAATCTTTCATCTTCAATGACAAATTGTATTACAGTTATCTCGGCGATTGAAACGTGCTTTTTCTGCAAAAATATTACCCTGAGCATGAGTTGCATGAACAATTTCAATCGTCGGTGTAGTAATCTAGACTGATAGTCCTCGTCAGCATACGGTACAGTAAACGACCATAATTTCAGCTCGTGTCAGTGAGCGTGTAACAATTAAATCAAAAGAACATATCTCATGTTTCATTTCCTCCGGGGTCACATTTAATTTGACACTTCCGGCGGTTTCGACCGTGACACACCTCAAACTAAAAGCTAAACCTTTTAATAAACATCGTGCACTGTCGTCGAATTGAAACATAATACAACGACTCTACTTTCACTCGCATCCTATGAAACAGATCTAACGATACGCGGTGTTAAATAAGAAGATTTAGACCGAGGCGGTATAGTACTCGCTAAGTAGACTGAAGAAAGCTTATTCGAGATAGGTCCTAAACTTCTTTTCCTCCGGAACAACGTGTCATCTCGTATTCGCGAGGAAAGCAAAACGAGGAAGAAGGAATTCTTATTTAAAATTAAGAAAAAGGATTGCGCATAATAGAAAATTATTAATATTAATGAAGTTATGAAAGAGATTCACGAGTATCTGTTTATTTTTATTATCAATATTTTCTGTTTGTTTCGTGTAATTTTACCGTGCATAATAAGCTAGTTCTTCCAAGGACCCAGGTAACCAAATAAAAAATTGGGACTGATTTTAGATCCCATATTGATCAAAACTAGGATTCCAAGAATTTCATTCCACCTAGAAGCTCGCTGGGTTTGTCGAGTCATAGTCAATAATTATTTGCATTAATTTCGCAATTACTCGACTACTTTTTATCGAACTACAGAATGTGCTATGGAAATAAAAAATTTCCAATCATTCAACAATCATTCTCTAAATTTATAAATATTCCATACCTAGTTGACCATCGCTAAACTATTATAATTAACACTAGATTTACGGAACCCGTCAATTTGAAGGAAAGGTTGCTCCAATTATACGACGATAACAGATTTAGTCAACTTACATTAAGACTATTAATATAATATATAATTTTTTTCAAATTAAACTAATCGTTAAAAAAAAAGGCACGTGGTTTCCTTTGCCTGTCAATTTGACAGCTGTCCTTAGAAATATGTATACAGATAGCGTCCGTAAACCTAGTGTTAAATAGTACAATTCTAACTATTACGAAATAAGGAATAATAATTTTAAATGTCCATAGAAGAAATTTATTTCAGTATAATTTGCTTATGTTCCATCACACGCATTTTGTATCTTCAGGAAAAATGAAAGATCCTAGGACTAGGAGAACCTGATTAATGGGATCAGGAGTCTCAGTGTTGACCTTCTCTGCTCGAATCCACGAGTACATCATGATCTCTCAAGATCTCAGAGATCCCTTTCCCAGTGTCCCGTACAAAGCAACAAAATTAGCAATTACACCCGACAGCGATGAGGTCCATGTGAAATCGTGTCACCAGGCATTCACCATCGAATCTCACGGGAGGTGAATCATGCTTTTTCGCTTTCATCCTCCTCGTGGGAGATTATTGTGGTAAAACAATGCGCGAGCGTAAACAGCGTTCTGTCGCGATTAGTTTCGTTATACGTTTAATTGCTGACTCTTTTCGGACGGTCGGTGAACGATTCGTGCGTCCGGACAATGCCGCGTGTTCCTTCGTGTCACTGTGGATTGTGCCCATTATCGCGTGCTCCTTGTTGTTCCTTTCCGTTGTTCTTGTTTTGTTTTGCACAATAACGCGAAGGGTCAATCGGCATTGTTCCAGCCACGCGATAGGGTCGTGCACTCTTTTGATAGAAACGCAGCATTCAATCTCTCCCTCGCGTCCCAGATGAATCCAAGGGAACACGGATTTCGGTTGGAGTCGCTTGTTGGGCCCGATGTTCCCGGGACATGACAAACGCCGCCGATCGTCCACGCGAAAACTTTCTTTTTCCTCCTGCCAAATGTCTAGTGGGCCCTTCGAGTCTTTCAAAATGTGGTAAACTCCGTTACGAGAGTTTACCACGGTATTAAATGTAATAAATTATTACGGAACTTTGTGGAATTTTGTAGAACTCTAAAATTGTGCAAAATTTTGTACAATTTTGCAGAATTTTGAAAAAATACAGTTTTATTAAGTGATAAGAATAGCTTCGTGATTATATCTCTGAGAAATTTGATATTATCAGCAATACGTACTGTATTAAATTCGATTGTGCAAGTTTTTGTAAAAATTAGCATAGCGTAATACTTGGTAAATAGGATGAATAGTGCATCACTTAATAATACTGCCACATAAAATTAAGAAAAATAGATTGGAAATAGAAATAGTCCTATGTTATACAGGGTGTCTTAGATTACCCATTCCCTTCTACTTATATATGGAAGAATGATCTTTATTGAAAAAAGAAAAAAGTATTTTAATAGCTAATTTGGGTATGCTCTATCGAATGGTGGTAGTTGCAATTTTCGGTATCAACCGGAAATAGAATTTTCACATCGGAAATCGACCTTTTCAAATAGAACGTGATATTTTTTGTTGCATATTCGAATTGTACACATAAAAATATGAAAGTTTTGCTCATTTTAATAAGACAACCTATATATCAGAATTTATTTAGAATTTATTTTGTTACCATGTTTCCCTACATTATTCACATAAAATTCTTGATTTTATAGTTCCATACGGAAAACAGAGCAAAAAATACAATTTGATATCCTGCCATAAGAAAATTCGAAAATATCAAGATAGGTTGATGCAAAAATAAGAAATCTATGAAATTTTCACAATTTTTGCCGCGAGTATAAAAAATGTATCTATTATTGTACTCTACTTGTCATCTGTAGGCAGAGAATTTCAATGTCAATAAAGAATACGGCTAATCGATTATTCGATATTTGCGCGATAGACATGACGCAATGGAAACAAGTACGAGAACAAGTTTCATTATCAGGGAACTTGTATACGGTAACTGGCCTCCACGGCGTTTCAATGAATTAAGAGTTCTCTTAACGGTTTGTCGTGGCAAAAGGTGGTAATATCGCACGATTGCTGCGGGCATTTGTGCCACAGTGTATAAACACAAACGTGATGGTTGCACGTTCGGCTCGAAGGGAAGTACCGGATTCCGAACCAGTCTGATTCGATACAACCGCCTGTGAAGTATTTCTCGCTAACAGTCCGTAACTTCGGAAGTAGATACACGCTCACATTTACGGATTGCATTTACTTCGCGTCAACGGGATCCGTGGAACAGACAGAGATAAACAAAATTGACTCGAGCCGATGAAAGTACGCGTGACGAAAGAAACTGTTGCGAATGCCGGTACGTTGTTCCTTTACACGTAATCCTGCGGGATAATTTTCTTATCTTAGGTTAGTGTACTCACGCGTACGCGAAGTAGAAGATCGAGAAATTTCACGAACAGAAATTACGCGGTACTGCAAAAGTTACACGGCGTTGTAACATTTAAAGTTCAAAGTTTCATAGCTGCTAAAGCTTGATAAATAAATAGGATGCGTGCAGGAAGCGATTAAGAAATCGAGATACCTGGTATCGTTCTGATATTACCATTTGGAGGAAATGTAAATTATGCAAGGAAACTTGGCTAACCTAAATAATTTTCATTCGATTTGCAAATATAAACCGAGTCACTGGGAAAGGAATTTGCATATTTTAAAGTGCATTAGAAATAAGATAAATATCGCTACTTTTAAAATCCAATAACGTTAAGAATCATTCGTATGCCATTCGCAATTTCTTGGCTGTAAAAATTGTCAAAACGGTGAGAAAGTTTGAAAATTCAGGCCGTCCAGGTATATTAATCGAACAAGGTGTTATATACGATAAACAGGATGATTGCACGACGTTCGGTTTAGACGGCAAATGTAAAATACGTAAAAAGGGAAAAATAAAGCATCGGGTAGATAACGCGAGACATTGCTCGATTCAATATCTCGTGAAGCTAAACACTTTCTCGGGGAAGAAAAAGGTGTAAACACCGTGATCAAGTATTCCTCGCGATCTCTTCAACCCTATTTTGAAACTGCATAGAAAACCTTCGTTTCCACCCTGCATTGGCACACCGTTGAGAAAAACACGACCAAACCACTGTCATTTGCTCTTGCAAATCAGCCCGAGCAGTTTTTCCTGACATCGATAAGACAAATGAGACCGCATTCTTTCTTACAGCCGTACGAACCATCTCGTATAATCGTTTAACGATTCAATATTGCTCACGTCAAAGGGACACTGTGCACTTCGTGGCATAGCACGGAGCCTAGACACTTGGCTCGATAAATGCACGGGGAATGGCATTAAGCGCGTCACGGCTGTTAGCAAAAGAGGGCTGGACGATGGTACTTTTTACAGACGCCAGAAGAGAGCGAGTTACGAGTCAAGGTCGGCTGCACAGGTTGCTCGGTCATGAGAATAGAAATATGACTGGAAATACTAGTGTATATATCTGTTGGTGATAGTTGCATACGCTGGTAGCCATGGTTCGACTCTACGGTTGAATAATAGGCCTCCAATTGAACGTTTGATGCAATATTTCCTCTGAACTCGATCGATGCATTCCGAATGGCGTTGCAAATAATCCAAGTCGAAATAGAAAGGGTAACAAAAATAGCAACGTCGGAGGAAATTGTCGTAAGGCTGTTTTCGAATTGCATCAACAGTTTGGGTCTTGGCACGAAGGAATATTCTTTACTTCTTGTTAAGAATCGAAATCCATAAATATTTCTCATCGAGCGTGGCAAATCTTGTTAGAAAATGGCAGCAGGTGTTAGAAAGAGCTTGACTCGTTTGCAAAAAGGTTAAGACTCTGACA